CTACAACTCTCAAGCTAATGGAAAGATTGAAAGAGCGCATTTGGACATACGCCAGGCTTTAATTAAAGCAACTGGTGGAGATGTATCTAAATGGTTCTACTTTTTGAAAATGATACTATGGGCGGATAGAGTAACACCGAGACGTGGTTTAGGTTGTTCTCCATATTTGCTGGTAACAGGAGCTGAACCGTTGCTTCCCTTTGATATAGTGGAATCAACTTGGTTGGTGAATCCACCTAATAGAATCTTAACTAGAGATGAATTAATTGGATATCGTGCTCAAGCTCTGTCGAAACATAACTCATTCATGTTAACATTTGATGACTCACATACCATCTATGGAACATCGTTCTCTTATTACAAACCACTATCTCACTATCGTGTTATTAGTCTCACCGTCGTGTTATCAATCCCACCATTGTGTACTATTACTATAGGACTACCAGTAGGATACATTGTATTGTACTTCCTTTCTCTCTCGCTATGTTTAGCTGTAACATGACATCGTCTACCTTGGACTTGTATATAAACCTGTAGTATTCGTCTTGTCGAATAACCAGTCCTCTCTACTCCTTCATCGTTTGATCTGTGTGATCAACTACAGTGCTGTGTGCACTCTATCTTTTACTGCCATTGCTGCTGAATATAACGTGATTATATTCTAACAGGTTATGGGCCCCGCCCTAACCTAAATAAACAAGAAATACGGTGCATACATTGATTTATGTCATTAAGGACCAATCCTCCTCGCAAAGCCAATAATCGTCAAACCAAGCCAACTGCAACTTGTGCTCATAGGGAGCATATTTTTGACAAAGACGACGTCAAGGATCGGTACCACGATCCCGACGGCAACAAATACAGAGTTTGCAAAGATCAACCTTGTCCGAATAGATATGACAAAATAACAACTGGTTATATCCCCGGCTTTGCTAGACTTATCGACAGAAAGCAAGAAGACCTTATACTTGGACAAGGAGCACCCCCAGAGCAGGTTGCATCATCATCATCCCAGAAACCAGAGGGTACGCCAGAAGCAGCACCAGCTCCAGAACCAGAATATCCTGTATTCCCACCACCACCTAGCCCAGTACTAGACCGACCCTCATCACCAATATCTTCACTACCAAGATCTTCACCACCTCCACCAGATCCGGAAGACCCAGATCCAGGAGCAGAAGTATCAGATCCAGAAAGTGACGACAACGACGACAATATGTCTAAAGTATTCAAAGCCTTTGACAAGGTATCTACGCTTAAAAGTGATGGATCTAACTGGGACACGTGGAAGAATCGAGTGGAGCTAGCCACCCGATCAATTGGATTTTCAAATCACCTCACATCTAATCCAAAAGATGACACTGAAGCATGGGAAGCCAAGAAAGACGATGATGGAAATTTATTAAATGCCATTGTGGGCCGCCTATCAGACCAGATCTATAGGCGATACAAGAATTACAAAAACGTGTTTGATCTATGGAAAAATCTGCTGAGTGATTTTGATTCGAAAAGTGCTCTCACTGAAGCGCACTTACAACAACAGCTTCATTCCATGCACTGCCATGAACCATCAAAGGTTAATGAGCATTTGGATAAATTGTTGGAAATCAGGGACAGTTTGGAGGCGCGGAAAATCACCATTCCCGAGGAAATGTTCAATAACACGATCATTGCTTCCATCCCAAACATATTCAAACCAACGATTAACGCATTAGTAGTGGTTGCAGCAAGGACTTCAGTCCCGCTGACCACAAGGGAGCTAGTTTCGACGATACGTGCTAAAGCATCTGGTCATACCCGAGGACAGTCTGGAAAGAAGGAATCTGCAAACTATGCCGGTGGAAATTCCAACCGCGGCAGGGGTGGATTTAACCGAAATCGTGGAAACTTCAGAGGCCAGTCCAGGGGCAGAGGAAATGGTAATAGAGGAGGAGGTCAAAGTCGACCAAACTCGAACAATTCCACATGCTACAATTGCGGTGGAAAAGGGCATTTCGCTAATAAATGCAGTTCGCCGAAGCGACAACAGGCCAACGAGGCCCAAGAGAGTTCTCAGAAGAAGGAGAAAAACCAACCATCTGGAAGCGGCAGTAATAGTTGGAGATCAAAGAATAAAGAAGTGGGATCCTCAGCCACCATTGAGGAAGTACCCGAGTCATCGTGGGCAGCCGTGGAAGTTACCACAACTATGTCACAGGAAATATTTAATTTTTCCGAAATTGCTAATAATTATGAGACAGCCTCTGTAGCGTCTCACAGCAATGGAGCAATTCTGTTCGACTCAGGATGTTCATCCCACATGACTCCACTTCAGGACAAACTTCGCAACACGCGGAGTGTCCCTACCCGAGTTATCCAGGCAGCTAATGCCGAGACCTTCACATCCAACACTGCCGGAAATCTCCAGATCGATCTTCCAATCAACGAGGATGGAATTTCGAAATCACTTACACTCCAAAACACTCTCCTATGCCCCAACACGCCTAACACACTTGTATCATTGGGTAAACTCGACGATGCAGGATATGTGATGGTAATTAAAGATGGAACTCTTAAAATCATCAATAGACAGGGGGAGATGATTGGAATCATTCCCAAAACAAATGGTCTCTACCAGATTCCGAGCGCAGAATATGCCTATGCCGGGAAGGCAGCCAGGATGGTTTCACTTTATGAAGCACACTGCATCGCTGGCCACCAGAACTATGCTTATGTCAAACATATGTTCAAATCAAACCAGGTTCATGGGATCAAGTTAGATCCTAAACAGATGGAAGAACCCGATGTAAGACCTGGGTCAAAATAGGTCTTAGGGTAGGTTTTGGTATGTGGAGGTTTATGTTGTAGCGTGCTAGGAGCAGGCTGGAGCTCGAAGGGAGCTACGAGAACCGCGACCGAGGACGGGAATGACCTAGTAGTAGTTGGAACGACGAGATGGTGACCCTTGAGGGGTTCCTAGGAGGTCCAGGGAGGTCCCTAATGCGTAGGGAGGTTCAGGACGAGTGCGGGACCGTAAGATATTGCGTAGTAGGAGTTGTACTCGCTAGAACGTCAATATAGAGTCGAGTAGGTGGTTTATGCAACGGGGTCTCGAGGGTGTAAGCTCCCGAGAAGGGATATGCCAGGGAGGGTAGGTCCCTGGGGACTAGGTTTGAGGATGGTCGTCCTCGAGTGTGGGAGGTGGTAACGGAGAAGCAATACGTAGTTCGACGTGAGGGGTAGCTTCGACGTTACCTAGATCGAGGTCCCGAAGCTTACAAAGTAGCTAGGGAGCTCTGGGAGGTTTGGGGAAGGGTAACTCACCAAGCGGGTAGGCGTTGGGGAGCTTTAGTAATGTTCGAGGGAGCTCGGAGACTCACTCGGAAGGCTTAGACTTGAAGTGAAAGCGTATATTCGATCGTATGGACGATCAGAGAGACAATAGACAGAAGTAGAGAGAAACAGAGGTAGAGAAACAGAGAGTAAAGAGAAATCCGTATGGTTAGCAGGTACAAAGGGACAGGGACTGGACCTATGAAAAAGGGTGTGTGTTCAAAATATACCAAGCTGGGGCTTGGGGACGTTACGGAGCTACTTAAATAGGTATGGGAAGTGAACAAGGGAACATCAGGGACCATGAGGCATGTAATCGAGATTAGTACCTTAATGGGGTAGGTGTAGGAGGGCTTCTTACGCGTGTCGGGGGAGGTTTTAGGGGTTACTTGTGTCGAGGGATCTGAAGATGGTAACTGGTATGTTTTGGGGAGGTACGGAGGTGGTTCTGTGCGGGTTGTGAGAGCGTATGGCTGATACTGGGGCTGTCCTGGTAGTCACCAGGCATGAAGACGGGAGAAAGGGAGCTGTGGTTAACGGTCGAGGCATGACAATATGATTGGGGTTAGATTTGGTTCAAAGTGCGTATCACTGGAAGTATCAGTATCTGATGTATTCGTGCGTTCTCAGTCTCTCTCAGTCTATGCTTTGTTTAAGTGCAGGTTTCTTCTTGTCTTCTCTTGCCATCGGTGCTCAATCGAGTTCAATGCTTGTCACGGTTCTCCATCCGGTGTTCAATGCAGCGAGCATTGTTCTAGAAGGAACTTTCATTGACTCAGTGCCAACTTGAATGCTTCCGAGCTCTACGCTACCAGGTAGAGTCTACACTCCTAAACTACCTTCCGTTACCTCGAAATACCATTTACAACATACGTCTTAGTGCCTCTTGGTTTTGGATGTTCCCCCGCCGTTCCCTTTCACTTTCCAATAATTCAGTATTGAGATATTTGATTTATTTTCTGCTGTGAGCGAGTGCATTTTCTGGCAGAGGTCTATTTTCATCGGGATCTGTCTGCACGGTATCAAGACTCGTTATTATTCCTCATCCCATTAGGGTGTCGATATTACTGTATAATAAAGAATGATGGAGTCACGATTATAGTAAATCAGGGTTTATACTGAGTTAACATCGTGGCCATGCTTTCCGCGTCATCGTTCCTCCCATTGGGTATTGAGACCAACGAAAAGCTTTCACCTCAGTGACGGTTTCGGAGGGTTGATATCTAATCTGGGGTATGCCGAATATTTTATACTCCGCCGGCATGCAATCAAATTGATTTGTGCTTCGCTCGTTCCTCTCTCTGACCTTGTTCTTCTCAATTATTCATTGCATTCCTGTTCAAACGTAGGTAATTTGTCCTTCATAAAGTAATTCTTTTAGCTGAAATTACCATCACAGCCTTTATTTTATCTTTTGATTTCTTCTCATCTTCCCTGTCAACTTGCCAACAAAATGGCGTCTGCCTCTGCAGAGTCTTCGTCCCCGAATAATCAGACTAGACACACTGTCCTGCTCAAAGGCGGCGTAGAAATTAAAGTGAATGGTAATTACATTTTTACTGCTTCAAATTTATGTCTTCGATTTTCTCCCCTCATCCGCCTGTTCTCATTCTTTAATTATAGACCACGTCTATGTTTCGCCCAGCTGGTCGACCCGCGAAGGGACACCATATTCCATAGGTCGTATAATGGAATTCCTCAAGCCCGAAGGAACCTCTTCTTCTGCAGACTTTGACTCTCTACCATACTCCCGCGTTCGCCTAGCATGGTATTACCGCCCCCGCGACGTTTCCGACCGCCCCGGTGGTGACTCCCGCTTGTTACTGCAGCGATCTACTCCGAAATATGTGATATCAATCAAGTTAGGGCGAAATGTTTTGTAGTTCATCGAGACAGATTAGTGATTTAGCGGGTGGAAGAAGCGGCCGGATAGGTTCTATTTTATGAGGCTATTGATCCATATCTCAAAAAGGAATTCGAGATTATCCAGCGGTCGGACGTGAAAAACGGTGAGTATTGTAGATCCTTGGAGTGTAAATCTTCTGTGAAGATCACCTGACTCATTGAATCCGAATCAGTACCGAAGACTTAGGAACACGCTGGTTGAGCGATACGAATATGTTGCTGCAGAGAAGAAGTTGTCCCGGATCTCACTGACGCGCTCCGTCTGTGTGATACATGTACAGTCTGGTGTGCAAGGTACGTGCTAGTATCTTTAATTCAAGCATATCACATAATCTCACTCATCAAGCGTTTAGCTTGGAATCTGTTCAATGCGACCGGTGCAAGAAATATTTCCATATGCACTGCGTTCAACCTCCTCTACAAGCAAAGCCTTCTCGCGGCTATGGATGGACCTGCGCACCATGCTCCCGCCGACATGAGGAGGAAGTTGATTCACGCGCCGCCGTACGCCATGCGACGCCAGTCCCCATCAAACCCCCGCTCAAGTCCAATGCTCCTGCCCCTCGTGGTCGTGGTCGTCCTCGAAAAGACCGTACTCAGGCAGAGAAGGAAGAGAATTTTCCTGTGAAACACTTTAGGTTATGGCCGTTTAGATATTTCGGGTGAGTGTCCATTTTTCCCCCCTCCAAATAGCAGATATTGAACAATTTAATGGTTTTATAGGCAATATACCCTTGTTGAAGACACTCTTGGTACGTTCTATTCACTTGGCCCAGACCTCGTGTCAATTGAACATCTTGGCTCCAGATCCAGAAGACCTGATTTTTCCTCGAGCCGCTACACGGGTTGGCCCGAAATACCAGCTTACTGCTTTTCCTGACAATGGCGGCCCACATCTTGGTCCTGGTGCGCTTGGTCATCTCCTAAACTTTCATAACAATCACACCATTTCATAGACGAAGAACGTGGGACCGACAAGACTGTTGAGGTTCTGGGAGCAGTAAATGACTTCACTCCTTCTGAAAGTAAGATTCCTCCCCTAAGTTTATCTGTTACCTGGCTGATCAATATTGTGCAGTGAGCGAGAGTATGTTTACTTCTATTCTTCAGCGAAAAACTTATTCAAGTGTGTACAGTGGAAGCGTGTCTTCGAAGCATAACCAACGACGGGAAGACTCGCAGCTCTGTCGACTTCCTTACTGAAGTTGTACGCCAATTCTCTGACGCCACACTGAATGGCAAATCGCTTTCCTCTGTAACACCGAAGACGCTGAACATGCCAAGGATCGAAAAAGTAAGAAGTTTATCAAGGAATGGAATGTCAAAACTGAAAATTAGCTATTAGTGGAAAGTCCAGCCTACGAGGCGCTATACTGATAAAGATTGGTCTCGGGAAGAGATTGTAGCATTTGCTATCGCGGTACACGGAGCTTTACGCGCAGTGAGAGATGAAGTAGTAGTCAGGTCGATATATGAGGTGGTGAGATTCTACGGACATTGGAAAAAGTACGTTCCCGTGACTCTTCGATAAACGAAACCTCGCCCTCACATATATATATATACGACAGTACCAAACTCGGTGAAGAGAACGAGAGGATTCGTACATATGGCTCTATGCCAACACCTATTCCTTCAACGCAATTAAGCCTTGGTGGTTTACATCGTTCCCAAACCATTGGCCTCTCTGACGACGAATCTTCCATCATTGTCCCTCCTTCCAAAGTACCATCCTGTGGTGCATGTCGGACTCGAGATAGTAAGATATGGTGGAAGGCACCGAAAGGACTCCAATCGAATGTCTTGTGTGACAGTTGCGGCGTTAATTATAGGAAATATGCCGACCTGAATATGAGGCCGACGAGGGATGAGTCTACCCCGGCTCCAGTAGTGCCATCAGGCCTAGGGCAGGGAAGCTCTACAAGGGGAAGACCGAGTGGAAGTAGCAGTAGCTCGGCGGAGAAGAGGGAGGGGACGCCAGTTGTGGGTCCTGCATCGAAAAGATCGAAGGTATGCTTTGTGTATACTAGTGTCGACCAGCAATTGTTCTTATTCGCATTACTCGTAGACCGCATCATCTATACCATCGACCCCCCCACCTCCATCCAATGTTCCTCAACTCCGCTGTTGCGCATGCTCGAAGAATGGGCCCGTTGGGAAAGTAATAAAGTGCAAAAAGTGCGGTTTTTCAGTTCATGCCGGTAAGAGTGCCTTCCCTTCGAGTCGCGCACCGTCACAACCATAATTATAGCATCTGTCGGGATTACTCTGAGCGCCGACAAGCTAGATGACTGGCGATGTGATCTATGCGAGAACGAGGAAGAACAAGAAGCTTCTATTGTAAGCGTACATACTGTAACCATTTACGGGCGACTCTGAACTGATTGTTGTTGAATCATCAGTACCATGACTGCTTACTATGCCCTCGCCCGCGTGGTCCTGTACAATCCCGTCCCGGATCATATCTTCAAGCTTGTAAAGTGACAGAGAGTCATGGTTGGGCGCATGTTCTATGTTCTGTGTTCATTCCGGAAATCAACTTTACGAATACATCGACGATGAGATCTGTAGAAGGAATTACTGGTATTCCCAATCGTAGATGGATGGCAGTGAGTCGTTACATCTTTTTATTTTAACCTCTGAACGCTAATCTTGTTGTAGCAATGTGGTATATGTCAGCAAAGGGGTGGTGCTGTAGTCAAATGTAGCGACTGTTCGAAGGAATACCATGTGTCCTGTGCGTGGAACCAGGGTCATACGTTTGGCTTCGAGATCCAGCCCGTAAGGCATTGAACTATTGCTTACTCTAGGAATTTTTGTTAAGTTCAATTTCAGGTCAAAGGAACCCGGAGAGAAACGCACGTCACAACGATGTTCAGGGGAGAACCTGGTTGTATGAATGCTATTATCTCTTGCAAGGAGCACGACCACAGTCGGCGGCAGATATACGAGATTTGTGAAACTGATGACGGAGGAGAGGTGAGTTATCGTTGCACATATTCTGATTTTTTTAAAATGCTAACCTCTTTTCTCCAGAGTGCTCTCCAAGTATATTGTCGAGCATACAAACAAGTACCCCAAGTATCCCAAACACATGCACTCCTCCGGAAAGCTCGACGGCTTGACCAACTTATCACTGTCCGGCCCGAATCCTCCGGCCCGGTGGCTGATTTCCCATCTGAAGACCTCCAGTGTGTGAAATGCTCGACGCACTTTACGCCAAAGTTTTACCAGACGGAGAGCGGATGGTTGTGTCATGCCTGTAATTTCAAACCACTTCCCATCGCGACAGCGAACCATGACATGAGTGGTGGCATTGTCAATACTCTCAAACTGCGGTCGCCAACTTTGCAGCCGGAGTCGCTCTCTGTGTCAGGGTCTGAGGTATTGGTGAATTGAAGTAAAAACTGAGGCTTGGGTAAGTGTTGCTGGGGAGGATAATCTCATCTTAATATCTTTATTATTTGCTATCGTGCTTTGAACGTGTTTGTACTTTAATAGTCATTTATCATTGTAGGGTTTTGGAGGTACCGCATGTAATCCCGGACTCATACAACAAGCAATCATTTGTACTAAGGTGAGACCCAGGTATACTATTCCCTTTCAAGCGAGGTTTCTCTAGAGTCTGATTGTTGGTTGCTTGTATCCCTTCTTTTCGTTTTTCACTCGGTTTGGTTGGGTCGTACTGTGCTAGTAGCATTTCGCCTCCACCTGATAGTGAGATAGGAAGATTGGTCTGACGGACAACATCAGGCTTGCGGTTTTTTTGCACACTTACCTGACCTTAAGCATTTCAATGTGCAATCGCCCGCTAGGTTACGATATTCATGATCAGTCGAAGAGAAGGCAGGATTCAATACAATGAATGATCAGACGGAGGTGGATTTTAAGCGCCCAGTCATTGGGTTGTGAGAATATTGATACGCGCTACGCCAAACAAGCTCATCAAGCTCGACGCCCTTTCCCAATTCTAGCCCCGTCAACCTCGCTCCTTTCGTTTTATAACTAGTCTAGTACGCTAACGGACTACTAGATCTGGCGCCTCCCATTCGTGGCCATGAACTTTACTAGCTACAGTAGCCTCAGTAACTGGGATGGCGACGAGAGCTTATTTCAACCAAAATCGACATTGACATCCAAAACGTCTTCCACGAGAGATTCACCTCAATCTGTGCCCCAGAATGAATCTACCTCTGAATGCACGCCTTTAGAGGTCGCCGCTTTGAAGCAGCTTCTAATTCATCAGGATGTATCGTCGTCTGAGCCGTTTTCAGCGTTAGAAAAATGTGCAAATATTCCGGTATGACTTCCATATATCATTGTGAGTGTCTGAGTAGATAATCTCATTTGTTTTAGAATCTCGATGCGATTGATAAAGAGGCCGAAAGTGTAGACACCGATACCGAGACGGCTGTAGTGAGTTCTACCACTGTCATGACCTTTATGATCCGTTGAATCATTCATCCTACATCTAGGCTACGAATATGTCTGAAACCATCAACAGTAGTCTCTTTACTCCTCCTCGTCGGGAGTCCATCTCTCCCCTTTCGCCGTCATCTTCATTGGATGGTGCTTCTCTTTTTCCCCTAGGGAGTCTCCTAAATCATCAACTAGCACGCTCTCGCCCCTGCGACAGCAGACAGAGAACTCTCATCAACAAGAACCAGGCGAAAAATTTGATCCCGAATCCTACCATGGTCATGGTACCGGCACACTCATCTTTCTCTCCCATATCCAAGCCCCTCTTCTTCCTAGAGACACTACTCATGCCCATTATTTGAAACCCCATCCGAAAGTCCTGGAAAAAATTACTAAGTTCAGCTCTCCATCTGTCCTATTCCAGGATTCCCCGTCGCCTCCACCATTCGGGTTGCATCACAAGAAAGCACCTCCTAGACCAAACGTTTATGCTCCCTCTACTTCTGCGCTTCCATTATCATCATCATTAAAACAGCATACCCCAATGAAGTACACAAATCTTCAGGATGCTTTGAACGCTTCCACGATACATAACGCAGAGGATGACTACATTGGGGCATTCATAGACAAAACTCGACCTGTCGTTCGTCGTAAACAGAAACAAAGTCCATTTGACGGTGTTCACCTGCCTCGCAAAAAGGCCAGGTTGAACCCATCTATCGTCGCGGCGCCATCGTCTGGCAACAGTTCTGTCTCCGTAGTGGTCAGTCAAAACTTGACGACGACGAAGAGTTCCTATATCCCAGGTGATATTATGCTGACTGACAAGACGCGCGGGGACGGTGATGGTTACGTGCGGCTCTTCGTAGGCAAGCACATGGATTTCATTTCTGGGGCGAGTTGGTTGAAGAATGCGCACGAGTCCACCATACCCAATTCCTCCTCCAAACAGAAAAGGCGTGACCATCGGATGTTGCTGGTCAAGAATTCTAATACGCGTCATATTGGAGTGAAGAACCATCGACAAGGCGAAGTCCAAAATCTTGGGACGAAGCGTGGCTTACCCCCTGGATTGAATAGCTGTAGTACCGGATTAATGAATTGGAAGGGGAAGGATAGGATGTTGTCCTCTTCGAAAAGAAATTCAGGGTCGGTAGAGCGTATGTTTGCCTCCATTTTTGCTCCCGAGACGGCGGCAGGGTATTGGATTGTTCAAAACTCGGACGAAGAGTTTCCTGGAGATGAGACAGACGATGAAGATGATCTTCCGTACCTGGACCTGTCAGAAGTTCACAAAGTGCGAGCGTCGTCGTCATATTCTTCGGTCAATACTGCTGGGACTGCTGGAACGGCCTCTAGGACTACCGGGAAGATGACCATGCCTCTTCCAAACCCAAATCCGAAACCAAAAACTCAACCACATGGAACTCCCCAGAGCGCGCCCTCGTCAGTTCCTGGAGGACCTTCGAAGTCCTCTTCTCTCAAAGGTATTAAGTTTCGGAAAAAACCTTCCAGCCCCACGACTCAAAATCCTGTAGCTCAATATCCTGACCCTGGAAACTCGTACGAATCCTTTTCCATGTCGTCTGCGTCTTACTCGTCAGTTTCGGCGTCAACTTCTTTCTCCTTACCAATCTCGACCCCGTCATGGTCCGCCTCATTGTTGTCGGCTCAGCCTTTGCGAAAAAGCTATTCTCAAACAGAACCTCATAAATATACTGATTATCAGCCGCTTTCACCCCCAGTAAAGGCTCAGCAGTTCCCAATTCAACGTGATGCAATATCGCTGAACCTCCCTGGTCCATCGGAGAAGGCGCTCGGGAAACGAAAGGCTTTCGATGATGGAGTTAAACCTCACATTAAACGGGGTCGTCCTGGGAAACATCGTCCTCCCACTGTACTCGCTAATTCCAGTATGAGTCAGTATCATGGACATGTTTCGCATACTCCTCACGACCCGTGCCATGCTCAAAATTTGTATGAAGCTCAGGACAGTCACCTTATCCCAGATAGTGTTGGGCAACATGAATTGTTTTCGCGTACGTCGGCTGTTTCAGCCTCAGGTCCTAGTGAGATATTAGGAGGTCCTCGGATCACTGATAACCTCGTCAAGATCCCAAGTTCACAAGGGAATCAAAACGGACATATTTACCAGTTCTACTCTCCTCACGCTCACGTTCGGACTTCTACACGAACTAATGCGTACATACCTGGATTGACTTCCCTTCCACCTATTGCGATTGTCGGTAATCCTTTTTCTGGAGATGGCGCAGAATCGGGAGTAGAAGCAGAGGCCACCATCGGACAAACAGGTCACGACGAACCAGATACCCATTGTGATGACCTGAAATGGGCTGCCGAGAAATTTTTGGTGTTATTGCAGAACGATCCTCAGCAAGCGAAAGACGTCATTGAAATGTTGCAGCTGCAGCGTCCTGGTCAGGTATGTCATCGTTTCCTTTGACTTTTTGACTCCAGTCTTCTTACTGCTACATAGACCATTGCTACGGGTAATACTTTACCTCAACCTCAGTCGAACGGATCTTTGGATGGTTTCCTGAACATGCCAGGGCATGACGTAGGGATTGGTCAAGAAATAACCAAGCGCAATTTCAGTGTCCATGGCGATCATAGAGGAGTTGACGTTGGAGAGTGGTTAATTCCTAGCTTCGGTATGGGAAGGATCCTAGAGGCCGGTGATCAAGCGAATACTGAAATTGAGCCTGGCCTCTATTCTGGGCTTAGTCGTAGTTCCAGAGCAGGGATCGAAGTTTCTACTCCCGACCACCCTGTAAAACATACGTCCATGTCCCCAGACGCAAGTAGCAACGCCACCATCAATCCCTCTATCTTGTTCTCTGTCGAGGACGAGCATGTTACCTCTGATGGTTTAGATATACTCAATTCTTCCGAGAGAGTTTATTACTCTGGTGATCCACTTCCTCCTCGAGGTAAACAGAGAATGATTAGCGTTCAGCCAAAGGCTCGAAAGCAGCGTAATACGGACTCTCAGTCCTCTGCGACTTCACCCGTACCACAACCCCCTCCGCCTCTTCTCCAGAGTAACGCGTTAAGTCTTGTGTTGGATTATGGTTCCAACTCGGATTCTGAAGAAAAAGATAATCTACATGAAGACAGCTTGGACTTCGATGTTCATCTTCACACCATTGTATCCGCTCTTTCCGCCACACCAGCTACCCTGGCATCTCCGTCTACAGTCTCATCGTCCCTAACAGAATCGCAGGCAACGATAAATAATGGAGTCGATGTTATATCTATCGAGAGTGGGTCTGGATTGCAGAAGGGCGGCGAACGCAGTCCGACGTCGAGATTAACAATACCTTCTCCAAACAAACAACCTTCTCCCAAATTACGCCTGTCTGATCCGGCCGCACTCGAGGT